GTCACTGGGATGACTTTGAAAGAATTTTGATTTGAGACTCCAGAACTAATCTTGGATGAACAGTTGTAAGAGAGTAATACTAAGTGAAAGCAGTATCTGGAATTAAATGTGTAGGTTCTATAGCCAATAAAATGGAATACTGGAGTACAAAATAATAGTCCTTTGAGAGAGCTATTTTTTTTTTTTTTTACCTTGCATTCGCCTGCCCTTCTGATAAAAGCCTCTTATTTTTGATTTTTCTTCCCTTAAAGTTTTTCTTCAAACAGCTCCTGAATGGTAAAATAAGAGAGACAAGGAAAATTAAAAATGAGTTTCTCTGAGAACTTAAGACTATGTTAAAGAATTTCAGAATCATACAACTCTCTAATTTGGAATCACCCAAAATGGAAAAGTATCTCTAATGAGAGCAAATGCTCTACTCTTTCTCACCATATCACCCTTTAAGAATCAATCAACTTAGCTAATGACATCAAAATATAATTTCATTTCGATTATTCAAGTTTTGAAAATGTTTCCTGATGAAGTGTAATTTTAAAGTCATGAGTGCTCTGTTAAAATCAAAGATTTCTAGAGAAATGTTCATTCTAATAACTATACATTATAATCACCAAATATCACCAATTATTATTAAAATAAGGATGAAATGTTATCATGTATAGAAATGGTAAATATGTGGATGCATTTTTCCTAATTATCCAAGATTATTTTTTCCACTTTTTTTTTCTGTTCACTAGAATCCTACATTCAGCTTCTCGTCTTTTCTCCTTGTGTTCATCTCTCACTTCCTAATTATAAATTAGAAAAAATTTCAGGTCACCTATGGCAGCCACTCGAACCCATTCCTCTTGTCTTTAAACTTCCCCAACTCCATACTTTATTTGCTTCAACTAATAGAGCTTAACCTCTTCTGTAGGTAATCTCTTCCACCTGCCATTTTGAAGAGTTCTTGGTTAGGCTAATTTGCAAATAAAATCCAAAACAGCAGAACAATGAAACCAGCAAGGTGTTCTTTGCCAGCCTATGAAGGAAAATAAAGCGTTCCTATCACGAGCAGAAAAGATTCTCAGTATACACTGTTCTAGAATTTCTAGGAAACTGAATCCATTTCTTCATATAGAAACCAGAAACACTGCCAGCCAGCCAGCTGGAACGATTATTCCTTTTACTCTTATACTGAATGGGCACCTGAGCTATATAAGGCAAGCAATGTAAGTGGTCTTATTAGTGATATTTGTGATTCCTCCTTGCCAATCTGCTATATACATTCGAAAATTGGGAATCAAAGAGACCTGGATTGAATACAGACTCCGTTTGCTCAAAACTTGCTTAGGCAAATCAAATAATCTCTCTGACCTTTCTGTTTTTGCGTTTTGTTGTTTTAATTGGTAAAAAGAGGATGATAATGCCTGCCCAGGTTACCTCAGAAGAATAAGTATCAACTGAAATGGTGTATATGACGCATTTTGTAGACTATTAAATTCCATCCAAATAAAGCTATTTTATGCAATAAAGGATTTATATGACTCTATATTAGAATATTCACTTCCATTATAAAAACAGAGGCAAAATATAGACTCCTGAGTCCCACTCCAAATTTACCCTATTGGAATCTATAAAGATGAGGCCCAGTCATCCATATTTTTATAGATTCAAGGACACCAGCGTTTGAGAAATACTGTATAATACTACACACCATTCTCATTTCTGGTGCACTCCTTTCTTTCCACTTCAATGGGAGTTTCATTTTCATGTACCATTTAATTTTATAATCATCTTAGAATTATTTCCTAAAAGATAATGAAAGTGTTTACACAAAGCAATCAAAATTAAATATTAAAAATTAAGTAGTCTAGATTCTTAATTGCAATTGTTTTATAAATATTTTTAATAACAACAAAAAAACCAGAAAGTTTGTTCTTTGTAACACACTGGATTGCAAAACGTGTAGAGAACTAAGAACGATTAATCATGAAAATAACTCAATTTCCTGGGGAATTATTATAATTTACTACATTAGTTTTGCTCATGTCAAATTTTAACACATTCAATAGCTGCTCAGTTATGTGACTGATGTTGCTTTAGTTAAACCTTCACATTTAGAGTTAACTAGGTCCCAAAAGAACAATTTGGGAGATCCTACACCTCTTATCTCTAACATTATAGCTCTGTTCTAAGGGTGACAGGAGAATAGTTGCCTACTTAGGTGAGACAGGGTAGGAGATATTGCTAAATCTGATAGTAAGGAGGAAACAAAACCAAGATCCAAGATAACCCAAAATAATAAGAAATATTAATAAATGTAATAAACAATGAATGAATAATTGTGCCTAGGGTGAAGGAGTAAAATTATATTTTTAAAGAGAACGCTTGGTTTTTAATAAGTTAACCTCAATCATTACTATGATAAAATAAGCATATACAGATTTCATCCTAACATGTTTAAGGGACTAAAATAAGTTATTGATCTTATGTGCTTAATCAGAGCATATGTTAAATTAACATTAATATATTCTTAGAGGCTACATTAACTTGGAAACAATACAAATATCCATCATCAGGAGATCAGATAAATTACAATATATTCATACACTGGAATACTCTAGAGTAGTGAAAATGAATGATTCTTATCACACAGTTGAGGAACATTATGAGTTACAAAAGCAAGTCACAGAACAAGAAAAGCAGTATGATTTCATTTACACAAAGTTCAAAAACATGCAACACTAAATAATATAGTGTTTAGAGATGTAAATACTACGGTAAAACTGCAAAGAAAAACAGGGAAGTTATAAATTCAAGACAGCACCTGCCTCTAAAGAGGGAGGGAAAGGAATGTAATTAGAAAGGGGTATACAGGGAATTTAAAGGAAATGGCAATGTCTTTTTCTTAAAGTGAAAGGTCTCAAGTGTGTATTTGCTATATCGCTTTTGTTTATTTTATACACATATTTCACAAATATTTTATAGGTATTCAATAGCTAATAAAACAACTAATACTTTATATTATTTATTTTTTATAATTTCTCTGTAATAAAAAAGTTTTATGCTTTTACCAGGTTTCAATTTCTTGCTCTGAACAACAGCAGTCATAACTGAATATATATTTACTTTAAGTAGTTCTGTTACTGTGCCTAAGTTTAAAATTTTTTTTCTAAATATAGCTTTTAAAAATCAGATATCCAAGAAAAAATATGTGGGCAATTTTTGGAGTTGAAATTAGGACAAACCTCATAAAAATAAAAACAAGTTATCAATCTTCTAAGTGGTTAGTATTGGCTATGTACTCATTTTCTTAAGATGAACATCAACAACAAATACCTTAAGTCAACAAATATCTTCAGATCTTAATTTTACTAAAATACTGATCCTATCCTAAGGATCTGTTTCTTAAGAAATTCCACAATACGCAAAAACATTTTTAAAAAGACTTCTAAAAGTGCCTTTTAAAAGATTCTTATTCTTACAGGTTGCGTATATATAACTCTAAGACCTTAATCTTTATATAAAACTTGGAAATGCTTAAGCTTTAGCAAATTGTTCTCATGTATACTCATATGTGGATTTGTTGAAAAAGCCGTGCTAAAAAACATTGTCTAGAGAAGATGTTTTCTAAAAATATTTTTTACCTTTCTACTAAAAGCAAAAGTTCTCCAACCGTGAAATACAATTGTTAATCTCGTACGGAAACTGATGAAACTATGATGACATTTGCTAAGTTTTATATTTTTATAAAGTAAGTCTTGCATCTCAAATACAAAGTGAGATCAAAAAATAAAAATAATCTTTATACAGTTTCACCTACGGAATTGTTTTCCAGATCATACTTTCCCAGAACCTTGTATTCAAAAAGGTTTTCCAGCATCGAGGGTTTAAAATTACGTAACAGTCTGAAGCCTCCCACCAATCATCATGAACACAAAAGGGTAAAACAATAGCTTTTAAAACCATTTGTGGTTCCAAAAGAAACAATCCTAAACATAAAAAGATTATCCAATTATAAACTTAATTCCCCCACATACTGAAATTTTAAAGATGAGAAATTTTTTAAAGCAAAATTTCTTAAATTCCGAAGAGAATAATTATGCTAGTTAATTTTTTTTTACCAAAGCAATATCTGAGTTCCTCCCTGGAATTTCCAAGCGTTTTGAACTGAAATGAAGCGACACCAACTCCAAAGATTCCGTTCGTTTCCATAAATCCAAAGATGGCGATTAATAAATCGCCTTCGGACATTTTAATAAGTCACGTATAAAACGCCAACTACTAGTATTTCGATTAAACTCCTAGCCCATTATAGCTTAGAAAGATTTCGTAGTATTTTTCGTATCTCACACCGCCTACTGCAAAAAGTAATAATCATAACCCAGTTAGTATAAATATATATTTTGCAGCAACTTTATCTCTTAAGCCTAGCCTTACTTTTTTGTTTTCCCCCTCCAGCCTAACATCTTGATGATCACGATCCTTTATAAAATCTCAACTGAACTTCACAACCCAAAATTGCCAACCACGCTAAATACTTAGGCCCTTATTTTATACGCTTATAATGTTTTTAAAAAGTACTTTAAAAGCCCTATACCTTTTTCCTTCATCCGTTAAGACAGTCTCTGAGAATAGAGGTGAGGGGCGAGGAACAGTGTGAAATCTGAGGGAAGCGGTGGCGCGGAAGGTTAAGAAGAGTTCGGAATATGACAAAAGAACCAGGTTAGCGGGGTGACGGACGAAAACCGCTAGGCGCGGGGTTACTAGGTGCACACGAAGGACCCGAGGGGGAGGGGCGTAACCTCTTGCCCTCAAGCCCCCGAACGCCCCCAAGCGACCGGAGCCCACTCTAACTGCCACTCCTCGCGGCAGCCATTTTGGCGTCGTCCTGGCTCCGCCCCCCAGAGGCTAGAAGCAGACACAGGAAGTGGGATTGTAAACTGACCAGCCGGGTGGGCTGGCTGCGCGGGATTAGCTTCGGGCTCTGTGCGCCCTGCGGTTCAACCCGTGCCGCAGCCCCGGGCCGTCTTCCCGAGAAAAGTCGTGGAACTATGTCGAATATGGAGAGTATCCTTTTCCGTTTGAAAAGCTGCTGCTAGGGCCTGGAGAACGGGGGAAAGGCAGATGCTGGGGGGCCTTGGGGGGCGACTGCTGGTGACCTTTCTGGTCCAGTTGTGGAGGGGTGAGTGCTCTGGCGCCCATTGGTAGGTTCCAGCAGCTTGGTATTTGTTGTTTTCTGGTAGCCGCCGCCATCCTAGAATCAGGGGAGGCGGGGCCGCTTCGGGAAGGGTCTGGGACTGATTTGAGGGCTGCTTTAACCTACACTTTCAGTGTTCTCTTTGAAATTGAGATGAAATGGTTCGAGGATAGAGGCAAGGCGACAGGAGTTTGTTTGCAGAGGCTTGGGGCAGAGGTATAGGTTTTAAATGTAATACGAGGACAAATAGCTTTTGTTGAACTGCACTTTTTTCCTGGAGGATACTGGTACTGATGTAAAGTGCTTAATACCAGACCTCCAACCTAAAATGAGTGGTTGCTGTTAATCTGATTTAACACATGAATAAACTCCATAGTTCCTAAAATTCATCAGTTGCACCTGTGTTCCCGCTTAAGCAAGGAGGTCAGGGTTTAGAACAGAGCCGTGGGAAGCTCTGAATTGGAGAAGGATGAAATTTTCACAATTGAAATGTCTAATTCTTCCTTCCAGAAGTTGTCATTGTAGAAAACAGAGTAGCTTAGTATCTTGCCATTGAATGAAACTTGGCAAAATGATAAAATGTGGGGAATAGTAATTGTTTGATATCTCATGGTAAAGATCTTTTCGCTTCATTAGTTTGTAAGCTTGAAATATAGAAGGACATTTGGTGAAAGGATTAAATTATATAAACCACACTGAGAATGTTGCTAACATTATATCATGTGGTGGACTGGCCAAGATAAACCAAGAATAAAATGTGAACCCTTGAGGAGGGGCACAGGTCGTTTCATGAACAGAGTAGAGGACTAAAAGGCCTACTATACTCCAGTTTAAAGGATAATAAAGGAAGTGTAGGTGTACTAGCACCGTAAGGGGAAGAACACCAGACTATGAGTCAGATCAATTTCTAATTCCAGTTCCTCTTAAACCTGTGAGTTAGGGCAAGTCATATATCTTCTATCATGCAAAGTTTACTTGTCTATGAAACATACTGACCTGCCAACCTTATAAAGCTGTTGTGAAGATGAAATAAAGTGGAAATGCTTACCAAATTTTAAAGTTTTGAACGTACTGTTAAGAGGAAATAGAGTACAAATTCTCTTTTCCCAGAACTTTTGGAAGGATTTGAATAGTTCTAAAAGTGTTTTTGTTTCCTGCTTTAATAATACAGAGTATTTTTGCTCCACCTAAGCCTACCCTAAGTGTTTTTTAATAACAAAATAACTGGTTACTAATTTCACTGAAAGGTATGCCTGACTTTAATTATAATAGTGCTGTTATCAGTAGTTTAATGCCTAACAGAAATGAACTATTAACGAAGTTCACTGTAACAAAGTGAGGAAATTTAACTTGATTCATAACATCTGGCAGTGATTCTCTTGGTTCATTTATGTAGAATCTGGACCTTTTCCATGGAGTATAGAAGAGGAGAATGACATATGGACTCAGACCTGTCTTCCATAACTAACTTGAACTAAAATTTTGTCACCTTTATAAAATGCAAAAATCTCATTATTATACTATATAAGAAGACTAACCGTGCTAACATAATTCAATTAGAATGGTGATTTTGACTTCTGTCTTTGAATAACTAAACTCACTGAATTTACCATGGTGGGTTATGGCAAATATAACTTTTTTAAAAAAAATTTATTTTCTTATTTTGTCAATATACAATGTAGTTGATTATTATGTCCCATCACCGAAACCTCCCTCCCTCCTCCCTCTCCCCCCTCCCACCCAAGCATGTCCTTTCCATTTGCTTATTGTAGGAACTTCAAAAAAATTGTAGTTGTTATATCTTCCTCTCCCCCCCCCCGTTTTTGTTTTTTTTTTTTTTTTTTTTTTTTTTTTTTTTTTTTTGGTCTTTTTTTTGTGTTTTTTTTTT